ACCCAGTAATGTTTTGTACTAGAAATGGATTCGAGAGTTTGTTTGTAAGATTATAACTTTCTTACACTGACTCGAACTAAAATAAATTCTGTATAAATTAAAACGCACCGTTGCAATAAATCATATTGTAGCAATCAAATTGACTATCTCATTAAAACGTTTTATTTTTTTATCTTTTTTTAAGGGATGCCAGACGCAACTTGTAAAAGAATGGCCACCTAAACTTTGTTGACCATTATTTTAAAATGTCTCGTCGTTTCTAGAGAATTCCAATTAGTGGTGAGGAACAAATGCGGCTACAAGAATCCCTATCAATTTCAGTGGTCAAAACTTAATAAAAATTTGCAAAACAATGATATAAGCTTGTTGCCGACAAGTTGCCTACACAACGGCTGTATCTTCAAATAACAAGGCAGTCTGAAGGACAGCTTAATCTACTCCCGCAGTGAATATGAATGTGAACTTCTAGACCTTTTACCAGGCACGACCTTGATGTTATGCCATGCATATCATAAGCACATAGTCTCATGATAGTAATTATTTGTGTCATATTATTTAAAATCTTTAATAAAGTAAAAGAAAGTTATGTAGAGCATACAACCTTGACCTTGGGGTAGCAACATGGATGTTGAGCTCTGCAGATTGTGTCATGGCGGTGACCATTTGTGCAAAGTAATTTTAAAACCTTTGAATTGTCAATAAGTTATAGAGCGGACATGAAAAATAGATGTTTTTACATTGGACATTTGAGTAAGACCCTGAACTTCAGGGTTGTGACTTGATTATTGTGCTCTGACAATGATGTCATATTAGTGATCAATTCTGCCAAGTTATCTTAAAAACATTGCAGCGGTTTAAATGTTATGTACAGACTCGGACTGTATACCTTTTAACACTTGACCTTTTAATGTGACCTTGACCTTAGGGATAGCAACCCAATTATTGCGCTCTGCACATTGTCTTATAATGGTGATCACTTGTGCCAACCTATTAAAAAACAACAGAGGTTTAAAAGTTATGGAGGGGACACGAAATGTAGGCTTTTTATACATTTGACCTTTAAGTGTGACCTTGACCTTGGGGTGGCAACCCAATTATTGCGCTCTGCACATGTTCTTATAATGGTGATCACTTGTGCCAAATTATTGTTAAAAAGTTATGGAGCGGACACGAAATGTAGACTTTTTTACATTATTCCTTAAAGTGTGACCTTGACCTTTTGGGTAGCAAGCCAATTATTGCGCTTTGCAAGTCGTCTTATAATGGTGATCAGTTGTAACAAGTTCAAAAATTTTCCAGCGGTTAAAAAGTTATGGAGCGGTCACGAAATGTAGACTTTTAACATGAAATGAAGACTTTTTAATATTTGACTTTAAAGTGTGGCCATGACCTTGGGGGTAGCAACCCAATTATTGCGCTCTGCACATTGTTTCATTATGGTGATCACTTGTGCCAAGTTATTTTTAAAAAAAATCTCAGCAGTTAAAAAGTTATGGAGCGGACACGAAATGTACGTAGACTTTTTATCATGAAATAAAGAAATTTTAACATTTGACCTTTAAGTGTGACCTTGACCTTGGGGCTAGCAACCCAATTTCTGTGCTCTGCACATCGTCTCATTATGGTGATTACTTGTGCCAAGTTATTTCAAAAAGATTTCAGCGGTTTAAAAATTATGGAGCGGACACGAAAGTGTTACGGACGGACAGACGGACAGACAGAATGACAGACGAGCGGACTGACAGACGGAGGCCATTCCTATAATCCCCTTTCCGCTAAGCCCAATAGGCCCCAAAAGGAACAGTCTTACTATTAAACTTTACAATCCCTTCACAAAAGTTTCATTTATATCATCTAAAAGCTTATAAGCCCAGTTAACAAAGAACGGTTGTAATGAAAATAAATGATTTATTTGAAAATATGCTAGAATTGATTCACTGATCTTTGAAACGAAACAATGTGTCAGACTTTAGAACTTTTGGTACAAATCTGGTATGTAAAAGTGAAAATATAAGTCAGCTTTTCTTAATTACGCCCATGGTACCCTAGTTTGTTAAAAGACCTAATCAGTGTACTATTAAAACTTATACAAAGATGATACGAGGGGCATAGTTTAATTAGTGGCAACTGCAGCGCATTTTTATAAACAAGTCATACCTTGGAGTAATTTGATTCTGTGCACCAAGGGCATTTGGTTATGTAGTGATTAACCTTAATAATTAGAACACCATGGAACACGGTCACGGCAAAATGTTCCAGTAACAATATCCCTCTCAGGCACAGCGACACGGGCCACTATTCCATCAATGTCAAAAATAGAGCGTACATAGCTCTTTTAACGCTCCTGTTACGTCGAGCAACCACTGGGCGGTATCTGCTTTCACCTACCCACATTTTGTTAATGAGTTTATTGTCGTGCTAAAAAATAAGGACATCTTTCATCCCCTCTGACAATTTCTCTCAGGCATCTAGGGTCTCGATCTTTGAACCTAGTCAATAAGGTCAATGCTTTTTCAATCCGCTCCCTTTTCTGGTCAGAATTAGCAAATGCGGGATTCAACAGGCTCACACTTTCATTAACTTTAACTTTTCTTTCAAGGTGGAAAAACATATGACGCATCAAGTATGTCACTTATCTCCTCTACGGTATATTTTGCATCTTCATCAACTACGGCTTTGAGAGTGCTATCTTTTTCAGAGGTAGCGGAAATTTGCTACACAGGGATGGGGATCATCCTTAACATTAGTTCTACCTTCCTTCAATATTGACACCTGGCAATTGTACTATATGACATAAGCTAAATCTAGATCCGTTTTTATTTCTGACGCGTACGTATTTACCCAATAACTCACAAATTTTGCAATAAGCTCTTTGCTCCTCCAACTCAGCCATGTTTACAACAAGTAAACAACATGTATTTAAACGACCTTCTAAAATTTTATTGCACGTGCAAATCGTGCGAAAATAGACTGTTGGCTAGAAAAATCAATAATCATTTCAACGGTATATTATACATGTACTTTCACGTGCAAATCATGGTTTGATTTAGTTAAAATATGCCCTCGTTTCTACCAAATTTGTTGGGTTAATGGACGAGTGGTTCAGATTTTGTGAAGCTGATTGTAGCCACCTTTCTTCTAAAGAAGCACAATGCCAATTTCTTCAACTAATTTATTCCTAATATATCTAAGGTTCATTATAGGAATACTAGTGCCTGAATATGTCAAAGTAGCTTACACGAAAACAAGACAGCATTTTAATGTAGTTCCAATCATTCTGATTTGTTTGGTTTTTGCCCTTTTTATTGGAGAGGTCATCAGACCTATCCATAGTGTTCAGACTGATTGCTGGCGGCATCCATTTTTGCGTATCTGATTGTAGTAAATGAATGTCATTTACAGCTTAAAACCATTAGGAGCAGTCTACAAAATTGGTTTTGCGCATGCTCCGTTTCAAAATACGACTTAACTTAAACGAAAAATTGACCTTTTCGAAAACCTAGCTAAACACCGTTTTCCGGTACGTTACGGAACATCGAAGTGAACGAATCGATCGGTACAAAGAAAAATCGGAAAATATTATTTACGTTGTGGATGTTTCATTCCGTTTTAATCTTTTAAATTGTATAAATCGATTACAGTATTGTTTTCTTAATAGCGTTTTACTATTTCTTGTTCCGATAAATAGTAACAGTAACGATAAAATATAAAATAGTAACAGTGAACATTATAGCTACATTAACACCATGCACTATTATACGACCGAGTGAACCGTGTACCGCGTGTACAAAGTTCTTTTGAACTGGTATGACTAAGTAACGCAACGGGGATTTTTTTGCGCAAGTGGCACAAATTTGACACACGTTTAATTTTCTTAAAATATTGTGGTTGGATGCATGCAGCTTTATATTCTGTTTATTCCAATCAAATGATATAAACCATTTTTATGTAAATCCTGGACTTAAAATTATCTGATTAACATACTTTATGCCCGTTTTGGAAAACGTAGAGGAAATGTTTCATATACTTATCAAAACATAAACCGAAAATTTGCTGATTGAATTTTACAAGAAACTTTTATTTTGATACTACTTTTAATAATATTATACATATCATTTATTTTAAATTTAGTTCCCTTTGTATAAAAAGTATCCCTAATGCGTCAAGGAAAAAAATCCATTTCTCCAGCATATAATCTTTCAAAACATTAAAATATGAAGTGTAATCAAACTACTATATATTCAATTTATATAATAAATTATATTTTGTTAAATAATTGTAATTTATAACCATTCGTTGTGTCTTATTTCCAAATTAAACAAATCTTCCACAGCAGCAAAAAGACCTCTCGCATGCTTCTTTTTAAAGAAGCAAACTTGTATTTATTTTGGTGATATCTCGGTGGTCGATTCACCTAACCGGATATCCTGGATGACTAACTAATGTTTATCAATTTCTCCGCGCAAGTGGCCGACTACTGATCCCACGTGATTTGAGTGATTTCTGAATCAGTGGGGGAGAGACAAATCACCATTACACCCAATGTCCAAGATTGTCACAGTAAAATTAAGCATCAAACACTTTAGATGGACTTGTTCATTTTTTTCAATCCGGATAAAGCCATTCATTATATTTCGGTAAAAATTAAAACCATGTACCGACTGAATAGCGAACAGTGCTGGCCCATGAGAAGATAGCAGGGATATGACGACTGATCTTAGTCTACACTGGTTGCGTGGTCATACTTGCACACTCAAGTCTTAGGACATCTTTCTTTTCAAATACAACATATATAATTCCTCCAATAACATGTTCATTCTTATAAATTGTTCAGAGTATCTATTTTTATTCCAGCAATTTTAGTGCAATCAAATATACATATTCCACCATGTCTATGTCTGGTTTAAACTTCCTGGAAATTCTTTGACACAGCCCAAATGCTAGTGCAAACACAGCAAAATGTTGGATAACTATGTAAGATAAACATTAACAACAAAATATCAGTTTTCTCCCTTTAATATGTTATATATAAACATTTTTCATAACCAGTATTATCTTGATATGCTTTCTAAAAAAAAAATTCAGTTCATTTTCTTTCACTCAGAGATCTTGAAATACTAATAGTCCAAAATAATTTTTAACACAGAAAATGTTTGATAACTCTTTTAAGATAAACACTCACATCAAAGTTTCAGTTTTCTCCCTTTAATATGTTATAAATAAACATTTTTCACAACGATATGAATTCTAGAACAATTCAGTTCTTTGTTAATCATTCAATTGATCTTGAAAAAAAAAGTTTAATTCTTTTCACATTCATGAACTTTTCATTGTTTCATTTATAATTATAATTTCCTTTCTTTGATAAACAGTAATGCTCTCTATGATGAAGTTATAAAAAAATATGTTACTGCGTCAAAAATAATTGTGATAATAAAAAGACAATACAATTAATGATTAATATAAAAATGATTTGTATAAAAATATAATGGGTTTATCTATATACAATGTGAAATTGGTCTCACCAAAATGATGATGTAATTTAGTATAAAACAAAAATGATTGATCTATTTATAAGGATATAATACATTATACAAAAATCAGATTGCTTATTGAATACAAATGTGACATATTATATACATGTACAAAAGATGGCTATTAAAGAACTAATATGCCATATAAAACCAGTTTCCACTCTACAAACTGTAGTTTAAGCTATTTCCTTTTTTTGTATTTAGCCTATAAAAACCTATAACAGAATATTATTAAATTAAATTATGCTATTTAAAAACAAATATCAGCATTTTTATAAAATTATTGAACAAGTTAATATTCTGTATCCGTAATTATAATCACAATGCTATGATTTCAAGATAAAAAAGAATTTTAGCATTCTTATTTAATTTACATTTAATTGGAAAAAATTGATGCATTCTTCATAATTATATAATAACTTTAAGCCAGAGTACGATTATACTTATTTATTTCCAATAGACTTCATTGCAAATTTATTGAACACATGTAGAATTTAAAAGTATAACACAGAATATAGTTTTGTTTAAACATATAATAATAGGTAAATAATGTTTGTAAAAAAATTATTTTCTTCTACAATTGATATCACTTCCCAAACAACTACATGTATTTATTTTAAGACATTGTTACTTTTAATTCAACTGTTTCCATCTATTAATAAATTTTATTCAGCCTAAAATTCCTAAAGAATTTTAGTTCCAATATAAACTAAAACCATCTTACATATCAGGTGATACAAGACTTAAACTATTTTCCTAAACTCTATAGTCGAAAATCTTTTCCCGAAATTATTCCTTAAAACATAACATGCTGTTCACATGGAAGTATAATCTATAATGTCCTATAAATGGATGATGTCTCTATCTGGAAATATCCTTGATTTTTCTATAATGTGATATTCTGTTTACATATTTACAAAGTTTGTCATCAGGAATGTCCTATGAAAGGAATGTGTATTTTGTGGTATTGTATGAAGCACAATGATGTATATTTATATAGTACAGATCTATAAGTCGGACTCATCCATTCCTTGTGTCTCCCGTGTCAACTTGACTGTTGTCTGTACCTGGTATGTTCTTGTTCCCTCATCTACATCTATACCTCGCTCCTGACTTGGTGTTCTCTCCATACGACTGGAAATTTTAATAAAATCAAGTCTTCAAAATAGAATTCCATTTCAACAAAGTTTTCTAAATGGTACATCAATGTTATCTATACTAGACATGAGTCTTACAGGAAATGGATGCCCCTATATTCCTATAATTTGTCAGACTATGGACAGACAACACGACATACAAAGAAAGATCTACATAAATAATGGCAGCATTTACATGTATACTGTGGTAAATAATTATTTTTATGTTGATAAAACAATATAGAACAATCTGGATAGTGGTTATAATAACACAAATGTACAGGGCTAATAATTTTTAAATATTTAGAAATAAAATCTACATTACCTTTGATATAAGTATCATGTACTTAATGTAACAAGTTATCTTTAACAAGTTTGTAATATTGTTAACTATACAAAATGACTTGTACACTGAAATGACCTGATGTTGTTAATTATATAATGTCCAATATGAAAAGAATATCAAATACATAATTTTCATTGCAGAATTTCTTTTTAATTTGCTAAAAGATTACACTATACACAAATGACAAGGAAGTCTAAAGTATCTCAACATTATGTTAAAATACCATACAGAAAAAGGAAACCAAATCATACTCATAGCTTTCAGCTTCAGCCTGTTTCCTGAGCTCAGCTCGCCTTCTGTCTTCTTCAAATCTTCTTCTCTTATCTTCTTCATACCTCCTTCTTGCCTCAGCCCTACGACGATCATCATCAGGTCCTCGAGGAGGTCTAGGACGGTTTGGATCACCAGGAGGTCTTCTGCCCCGTTCTCCTTCCCTTGGTGGTGGTGGACGGCGATCTCCATCCCTTCTCGGTGGCCGGTCGCCCCTTGCCTATCACCCCTGGGTCTATCACCTGGGCCACGACCATCCCTCTGGTCCCTACTCATTTCTCTGTCACGTTCACGTCGTTTTTCATCGTCATAGGTCCGACGACCATTGTCGTCATTGTAACCACGGTTATCATAGCCACGATTCTTGCTATAATCACCCCGGTTACCTTTGTCATTTACTCCCTGAAAACATGAAAAACACTCAACAATTAGTATCTTACTCAGGGATAGAAGGTCTGGAGGTGGGAATACAGGACTACTTTGTTTGTGTATGATAACCATGGTTACGATGTACTGGGGGTCAAGGTCAAATATTTCAACTTTCCTGTACTCAATCTCCTGGACTTCTCTCCCTGGTAAGGCAAACAAAGTTCTACACTACCACTACTCTCAAAACTTTAACCACTTGTTATGACTATATGCTTAAACATGTTACGTATTATAACAAATAAAATATGTTACAGAAACCACTTCAGGTTTTTAATTTGCATTTTTATTTATATCACAAATTACTGTAGGAAACTACATCTTAAAGTAACAATATAAAATACAACAAAGCATCTACTTTAAAGTCAATCATGTGCTCATGGGAGTACAGGAAGCAAGCAATAAGCCTTATGTGTTTAAGTCTCATGGCCAGCCAAATGGACTATTTAGAATTCATGTACTGTTTTTGTACTGAATTTTTATCATCATTTTTACATGGTATGAAGAGTTAAGGCATAATTTTCTTCTGCTTCAAATTGAGTTAAAGTATAAGTGGACCCCTTTCATTGTAGGACAATGTAGACTTCTAGGACATATGAATATGACAAATAATTAGTACTATTTGTGGGCTACTGGACACTCTTAAGAGTGTGCGTTTCTTACTTTTTGCCTATCTTGTTTATTATGTTTAACTACTTGCAACACTCTGTATACTCTTTATGGGCAAATAATAAATCTAATAATCTACATCTTCACCAAAATTAAATAAACCAAAGAAAATACCTGAAGTAGGGTTCCCAAAAAATAAGATGGTTCAACATTAACATGCATCTTAATTAAACAAGCATTAACAATTATTGAGCAAATCTAAAACAAATATGTGAGTAAAACACAAAACTTGAAAGCCATGCCATAACAACAAAAATGATACATGCCAAAAACATATTGTCCTACATAGTAAAGCCTACACCATAATAAGGGAAATTGTCATATTCCAAGTGGTTAAAGAATTGATTGGTGCATATATACAACCAAATTTTACAACAGGTAAAAACAAGCATAACATAGAACATAATTAGGGTATTTTACTCAACCATAAGTAAAGTCTTAAAATGTTAGTAATTTAATCTTATAATATACTATCAATTAAAAACAGTTTGTGTGGAATGCTGAATAAGCAATTTTTTTTATTTTATGTTTTTACATTCATATATCAAATGATACCAAAAACATAAATACTGAAAGCTAAATAAAACAAAGATTGTTTAACTAATAATTTCTAAGATTTAGACATATTATATGATTGTATAGATATAATATTTAATTTGTTGTTGCTGTTGTTGATATAGTCATCAATCTTATGGCTGAGTACTCAAACTTGCATGATATTCTCTAGCATTTCTACAATGATGAAAAACATGAAATCAGTTTGTATGGTTATTTTTTAAGGCCAATTTTTAACAAATATTTGGTCACATCTCAGTTTTCAATCCACCTAACCAGCTTTCTGGATAACTAACCAGTAATTACCTATTTCTCCTCAACAAATCAGCTACTTATTCAACAAAATTACACACAATGGTCAGCAGACTCAATGACCTAAATCTATTGTCTGGGAGCAACAAATATCCCCTGGATTACAAATCAAATTCCCGCTCTATTGAGCTAAGCAGGTACACATGAAATCAGAGTTTCACTCTTACATAATATCAGAGTTTCACTTTTCTATAGAATCAGAGTTTTACTTTTCCATAAAATCAGAGTTTCAGTCTTACATGAAATTAAAGTTTCACTCTTACATGATTTTCTGAAAGATATACTTACAAATTTCATTTGCATCTCAAAAGCTACAATTTTGCTAAGCAAATATCAACACAGGCCTTGCAATAATTATATGTAAATTATCAATTCAGAAACTGGATATTAATTGCATATTTAATTAAGTATTATCATTTTGTAAAGAGATGTCTGAAATAGTTCTAGGATATTACAACATACATTTTTTTGTCTTTGGTTATGTACTGTTATTACATAGATATATTATAATGTAAATGATGTGTACATGAGATGAAAGGAAAACAACAGGGACTGGGATAAGCTATTGACAGTGCAGAATACTAGAGAATATATGACACAGAAATAACAAGATTACTAACATATTCATGCGAAATGTTTAGATTGGAATATAAGTCAGGATAAAATGAGCTTCAGAACTTAATCAAAATAAGGTTCAATGCCATTTTTACTGTTCAAAAACAAGTATTCAAATTTAATATAAAACTTAACTCTTTTTGAAAATATCAAATTCAACATTCCACCTATTTCATGTGAATAAAATTCAACAAGACTGAATGTTGTAATTTAATAAGATGCAAAAGTACCCTTTCCATATAGTGTCAGTTTATATGTGTACAGAAAGAATGATCCAAAAAAAATGCATAGCAATACTGATACTATAAACTCATGAATCTGGTACTAATCGACTGAAGACTATCAAATGAAACTTACATGAAATGAGGTAACATTTTTCAAAATTGCGCTTGCTTTGATTAAAACATAAAACCTTATTTTCTTTAGACCAGAACGATTCTGAAAAACATGTCCGTATGTTAATGTTAAAACTAAGAAAACCCCCAAAAAGAACCACACCAAGAAACCAAACCACTGGGTTTGGCCAACAGAAATAAAGATCAAAAGAGACTCCAACTGACACCACTCCTGCATATAGATTTATAAATAAAAGCATTCTAAATTAAAAGCATGAGCATTATCTGCTTCTTGAATAAATTCCCTTTTTATCCCAATGCCACTGAATATTTCCTCTATTTTCTAAATAAATACATTTGTTAAAGAAACAAGTACCACTGCCTTTGAAATATTTTTCTAATTAATTTTTGTTTTTAATTGAACATTATACCCATCCTAAAATAAAATACCTTTATCTTGTGAAATTTAAAATTGTTTTACAATTTCTGAAGATTCAAACAAGACACTGGCATATCACGTAAAAATGGTAGCCTGCAATTACCCTGACTCTATAATTATGTGTGGCAAATATGTCCCAAGTTTGATTCAAGCATTGGATAAATCGATAATTTTTCTTTTACATTTATTTTCATGTATTAGGTAAATGATTCTTCTAAAATGATATTCAAGCTTAATGCATGTTGTACCTATAAATGAAGACATCAGCAGCTAAGCATTTATCTATAAAACATGCATTATATAGAGGGAGTCACACATAAGACTTACTACAGGCCGATTTTTCAATTTTATTTATACTTATAGATTTTAGAACTTGACTTGCATGAAACAAATTTTAAATTTTGAAACCCTTACCATTGAAAAAAAAACTCCAAAAAGATTCTGTTCAAAGTTAAGAGATAGTGTGACTCCCTGATAGTTTAGACTAAGACATAGTGTACCATAGTCCCCTGCCACTATTGCTATAAGAAACACCTGACCTACTACCCTACACTGCAAAACTACCAAACTACCAAAAAATTGAAAATGCAATAAGGGAAAGGCAAAATTACGCTTAGCATTTGAGTAGGGTTTACCAAATACAAGAAATATTTAAAGCATTTTTATTGTGAATATGGTACATAAAGACAATTACGTGAATGTATTGGTAACAATGTAATATAATATTATAATAATAAATTTTTTTAGATATGATAAAATACAATTATCTTTTAAGTAACTGTCTCTTTTGATTAAAATTTAGTAACCATGGAAATCAAAATTTAATTAATTCAAACACTGTATTAGAAACACACTTAAATCTTTAATACACTCAAACGTGTTTTAATTTAAAAATTCACTTCAGTATAAAATGTCTGTGTTAAAATGATTTTTTTGAACATCTGTTTAGAAATTTCTTTGCTATAATGCAAGCTTTATTGAGTAAGTAACATGCATTTAAAGAGGAGACAGACCAAAGATTTGCACAATAAATCTGATATATCGTCAATTAGCCGGTCTTGTCCAGCTCTAAATTTAGTACTATCCATTGTCATACATTCCAACAGCCAGGGTCAGCAAAGACTGTATGGATATTATATATACTAGAAATCGTAGTATTATAACATCTTTATCATCAAACATATTCCAAATATTTCAAAATGTGGGATCAAGCCATTTAACATCTTTTAACCAAGTTTAACAAAAAATGCAGTTTCTGGTAAATTTGTTTGCTTCACACAAAATTCAAGTTATTAGATTTCACCATTTAAATTCAAAACAGACATAGTAAAGACGTTATCGTGATGATTACAGGTTTCTGTGCTACTACTGCCATAGAAAAATCACTATCTCTGCCAATGTTCTAATTTTCTTCTAGCTAAATTGTGTTATTAGCAGATGAAGAGAGATATTAAAATATTGTGCAAGCCTTAAGTTTATCACTGACTCTTTCATACTTACAGGTCGGCCTGGATGTCTGACATTATGTGGTGTAGTTCCAGATTTTAACTCTGTCCTGCAAATATAAATATCTTGATGTTAGAGGAGTTGACATTACTGACAAAGAAAACTCTCTAAAAAACCCTGGAGTAAACTTTTGACCATTGACATGTATGACCATACAGCAAACAGACTCAATGTATCAATGTATAAATTCTTTATTAGAATACCGTATAAGTACTTATATCTGCGGGCTTAATATTCTGCGACTTTTATTAAAATAAGTTGTTTTAAATTTCTGCGTATCTTATTTCTGCAGTGTCATCATTCTCGCATTGATGTTTTTTATTTCTGCGTTTTAATTTAGATATTTTTACAAAATTAACCGATACAAACAGAGAACATTTCAAGATTTGTTGATGTAACATGTATTTTACTTCCGGTAAATGCAGGCGACATCTAATGTGTTTCTTCGTAATCATCATGAATCGGTATATAAACGTTTATAAACAAAAATCAACAACGTGCAATGACAACAATTTAATGTTATACTGCATGTGTATAAATATGAAGTGTGAAAAATAAACAATGGTAAAATCGCACGTAGACACAAGATATTGTACAAGTACAAAACGGTATGTTTATTGCACCCGTCAAACTATAATAGTTTTATTTTACAAAAAAAAACAAACTTCGGGTGAGCGAAAAATCATACAAACATGATATTTTTTTAAACAAAAAGAACAAGTAAAGTAACTTTTTTTCTAATATTTTATTTTTTCCTATCTACAAAACCGATAACGGTACATGGTAATGTAATTATACAATACTGGTAGTTGATATATTCCAACATAGACATAGGGAAAGGCTTAATTTTCTGCGGTTTTAAAATCGTGGTGTCGTTATGAACCGCAGAAATAAAGTTCCTGCAGAAAAAAAGTACTTATACGGTATTTCAGTCACCAGGAATGTTCCATTGAACATCATTCAATTTTCCTCTCTGCTATGTATCTATAATCTATGTTCACTAAATGCCAGTCATTTTACACCTTATATAAACAGAGGCCTATAAAGGGCCTCTTCCCAATAGGAATTTTCTTTAAAATTATGCTGTTTTCCCAAAAGTCCAAAGTTACACCTGTAATGCTTTTACTTCCCACTACAGCAATATTAGCGAAAATTCTTTCCAAAATCAAAAGGCTAATGCTTTTTCCCAATAAAGTGAGAAAAATCACTGAATGTTTTCAAAGAATAAAATCAGAAATAATTAAGACAATGTTAATCATATTTTTTAGAACTGGCTCAAAATACAATCAATTTAATATGTTTCAATTGTGATCAGTTAACCATGGAATAACCTGATATATGACATCATGAATAACATGATTTTTCCTTCTTCAATCATTAAATACTTAAACAGTAGGCCATTTTTTTCACAAAATAGCATTAATCATTTACTAATTCCATATTTTTAACCATTACATTTGAAAAATATCATTTATGGTGAGAAATGATCCAGAATCAAAATGGATATACCTATTATTTACATCAATAATGATCATGATATCATTTCTTAGTAAAGTAAAAAAAAAACTGTACTTGCGCCTTTGCTTGTTTTGTTCACTTACTTCTTTTGATCATCATAATTGAGCTTGCTCTTGTGGACCACAGCAACACCGTAGTCTCCGATTGGTCGAAACTGAAATTATTTGTACATCAATGATCATGAGAAAATTTACAAAGATAAATTTTGAAGTAAACAAGTATTTTAATGGTTATTTGACAAAATATCTATGCTAAAAACCTATGTTACTATATAGACCTTATAATATAATAAAGCCATTTCAATTGAACATAAGTGAAGTATAACATTTTAAATTGTCATTATAAAAGACAGTAAGATAACAGTGAAATTCTGAAATTTCAAGTGTCAACACCAAACAGCAAAGACACTGGTGAATTTATGGATAAAAAAACAAACATTAAGCCAAGTTAGTTTAAAGCGAGATTCTGCCCCAGAACAGGGTCTTTCAAATAGAATGGTCTGGAAACACGCTCTGTAAACCCTTCTCGCTGCAATTAAACCTGTCTCGGTATAACTCGATATAATTTGCTATACGCAAACTATGTAAGTGTTCAAGAAAAGGGCGAATATTAAATACAAGAACAAAAATGAAAATTTTAACGACATGATGTTATTTAAAAATCTTTAAACTTGTGAAAAAAGGATAAATATTTCAGAAAATAATGTTTTTAAAGCCATATTTGTTGAAAAACATAGATTGCTTGTCCAGAATATTTGCCGATAAACGGCGCCATTTTGAAAATGCATCAAAGTAAAAATCAAATATTTGCAAAAAAACATCGTGAAATATTATAATATTTTTACATGACACCATTTAATAACATCTATTCTCTGTAAAATCAATTTTTATTTTGTCATTGAACAATGCATAAATTTAAAAAAGCTCATGAAGCATGTACCTATTTTCAAATATGAGCAGTAGATTTTTCTTTGACACCGGGAACGAAAAATGCTTAATTTCATTGCAAATCTATAAAATTGTTACTTTTAAAGAAAAAATGATAATATAATGTAGTCAGAGTTAGTTTTCAGTATTTTTTGATTGATTTAACAAAACATTATCTTAAAATTTGATTTTTGAATGGTGATGTGCTATGCCAGATCACGGTCGGTTGATAACCCACCGAGACAGCTTTTTTCGTAAAATTGGTATGTCTCAAGACCATTCTATTTGAAAGACCCTGCCCAGAACGAAAATATCTCAGAGTCAGAATCAAGCTTTGGCACGTCAATATATTTTGACTAGGCTTCGGCTTGCCTGGCTTTAGACTACATGTATGTATTACCTTGGTACCCTTTCCTACAACAGCTTGAACAGGTAAATATATAAATATGAGAACAATCATATACGTACAGCAAGGTCTTTTCTGTATTGATTGGTCCTTCGTTTGGCTATCAGTAACAAAAATGTGGCTACAGCACAACTAAGTAAAAACATGATGATAAAGAATGGACCCAGGAACTGGTCATCCCAAGACACCAGGTATACATGTCTATGGCGAAGTGTGATCACAAGAATACCCACAATCATACATATAAAACCAAAACCAAAAAACCCAAATGCAAATCTACTGAGCGTATATCCGGGGCCGATCGTAACCCCGTTTAGTTCCCCCTGTATACGTCCTTGAAGAAACTCATGATAGGCGACAACTGTATCCTTGTCAATTTCGCGCTCTTTGCGCGGTCTGCCAGTTTTAGGCTTCATATTGTCATCTCATATTTAAAGGAACTAAAATTAACGAAAAAATGGTGGACAAATTTCAATTTTGAGTGTCCACTTCCGTATTTTGAGTCATAACGCATGCGCACCTGTAATTTACCTGAGTTTACCTGTGCGGAGTCTAAACTCCGTGTGTCAGAACGCCGTACCTGGGACATTCAAAGGCCGTACTATAACCGTATATATTGAATATCCTTTGATTCAATTGACCTACCATTTTTTTGGAGGGCGCTAAATAAATAAATAAATAAATATTTTTTTTTGTTTTAGATTCATCGTCGTATAATGGTTGGACAGGCTGTTTACTTAGAATATTAAGCGAGATACCCGAGTGATCAGAAAATTCATTCGGTTGTAAAACCTGAAAATCTGTGACGCAATCAAAATAAAAAAGAAAGTTAAAATTCTTCATGGACAGTTAATGATAATGATGATAATAATAATAATAATAATAATAATAATAATAATAATAATAATAATAATAATAATAATAATAATAATAATAATAATAATAATAATAATAATAATAATAATAATAAATAATAATACTACTACTATACTACTACTACTACTACTAATAATAATAATAATAATAATAATAATAATAATAATAATAATACTAATAATAATAATAATAATAATAATAATAATAATAAGTAAAATAAAATAATAAAAAAAAGCACGCTGCAATATGCATGGTTAATTAGCATTTAACTGTGTCAACAATCCTTTTTCGAATGGATGTAAAAAGTAGAAATGAACAAACCAGTGAACCAGCGTAAACAAAAATCTTTCGAATGCTTTCAGTAGGTTTTTAGTTTTGAAGGTACAGAAAGCAGAACACTGTTTCGCTGGACACGGTTACACGCGCTAAAACGCCCACTAGCACCTATATAATGATTTAAAACCGCACGTTATCAAATGAGTGGATACAGTTTAGAAAAGTGTAAAACATTAAGAAATATATCAATATTCATAATTCATTATTCAAGTAATACATATGATATTATACATCGGGTTATATAATTTTATTAACTGTATTCATCAGTTTATGTCTACCCCGTTACTTACGAAAAATACGGTATTTGTAAGCATTTTTTAAGACATTCACGGCAATTGATGTAGATTATTAATGCATTGATCAATCATAGATTACCTTATTTGTATCATAGGTAATCGGCGCGTTGATTGGTCACTACCCCCCGCACCCCCCCTCCCCCCCCACACCCACTCTACAGCCCTCCTACCTCTCAAAACCATGTAAAATACAGTATTTCATTTGAAACATGTTTTAATATTTGGTTTATGCTTTTAATTCAATAACCTTCATTTCCTACAAAAAATAAAAAATTGATACATATATATTTAGTAAAGGTATGCAACTCGCCGCTCAATTTCAGCACTCATCTTAATATGAACTCCATAACTTTTCAACATTTTTTCACCAATTTTCAATATTTTGGGTACCAAAATGGTAGGGAATTGATTACTCTTAAAGGAATTAAAGTTGTCATTACAATCATTTCAAGTTATAAGAAGATGTTAATCTCGAAGTCACCATAAGTGTAACTCGACAGTGATCTGACCGCTGGTTTTCTTCAAAATTACCCGAACTAAACGGCAGTTTATTCGAAATGAATGCATATTTCATTGTATTGCGCATATAAATATGATCAAATCATATTATTAGTTTGTAATAACTGTTCATCAAACAGCTTATAAAACTATAACAAACCTTTTTTCCTATATGTTAAAAATTCCAAAAATTATAATGCAAGTAATGAGTTCTACAGAGTGCTCTCCCCTTCATTTTTTTTACGGAGTATTTTCATTGGTCTAAGGTTTTCATACGACCAATGAAAATACTCCATACGAATGCTTCCGTTTATACATGTGTACTTTCATTTTGGATTGGAGAATTTGGCATATCGGAAAAAAGGTTTGTTATAGTTTTATAAGCTGTTTTGATTGAACATTTATTACAAATAATAATATGATTTGATCATATTATATGCGCAATACAATGAAATATGCATTCATTTCGAATAAACTGCCGTTTAGTCGGGTAATTTTTGAAGAAAACCCAGCGGTCAGATCACTGTCGAGTTACTACTTATGGTGACTTCGAGATTACACATCTTCTTGTATAACTTGAAATGATTGTAATGACAACTTTAATTCCTTTAAGAGTAATCAATTCCCCTACCATTTGGTACCAAAATATTGAAAATTGGTGAAAAAATGTTGAAGTTATGGAGTTCATATTAAGATGAGTGCTGAAAAATTGAGCGGCGAGTTGCATACCTTTACTAAATATATATGTATCAATTTTTTATTTTTTGTAGGAAATGAAGGTTATTGAATTAAAAGCATAAACCAAATATTAAAAACATGTTTCAAATGAAAAAATACTGTATTTTACATGGTTTTGAGAGGTAGGAGGGCTGTAAGTTGGGTGTGGGGGTGAGGGGGGAGGGGGGTGCGGGGGGTAGTGACCAATCAACGCGCCGATTACCTATGATTTGTAAATATTTGGCAACAATTTAAAACACTTTTAATTTTTGTGTGGAAAAAATCGTATAAACTTAGAGACGTGTTACTTGAAGATGGAAGTTGTGTTACAATCTTCACATAATTTTAAGTGCAATGTTAAGAAAGTTAACTGTTTAAATTAAAACCATTTACCAAACTATATACAAATGTAGATTAGAAGAATAGTATCTACTTTTATGGGAATATTATGCTATATATTTCTTTCAAATAATATCTTTAATCAAAGTTTTCAAGAAAAAAAATGACTTTAGATAAACTCGATTTACTAGATTTCCTTTTTGGAAATTGGACCGTACATATTTTTTCTCCACCAATGCGGATTGATCTGGATGGAATAGCTCTTTGAAAAGAGAGCAAAAATGACAGCTATGCAATTCCGCAATTTTACTATGCATAAACCCAAAAACGGGAAAACCCGGGCCTAAATTTGAAATTTCCAAACAAACAAAAAGTTCAAAAAACTCGCTTATCAACATTAAAGGGAAAGGGATTTTCCCATTTTTTTTCCCGGGCTGTCAAAATTCCCATTGGGAAAAAAACCTTTTTCTGCGTTTGGGAAAACGGGGCCAATCCAAATGGGGAAAAATCCCCTTTAGGGTTGTTTACGACTTTTCATTTTAATTAGCAAATAGATTTTTCAATCCTTCTCAAGAAGAAGGGACTGATTGCATGGTTGTGTTTATTCATATTTATTGTCCAAAACTCACAGACAGGAACATTAAAGAAGATGAGAAATGTTTGCTATTTTAACCCCTTTTTATTCGACGTCTGGACTTTATACTCCTAACAATAGGCAGTGACAGATACAACCGCGAAACATCTCCCGATTTCACGAGTTATGAGCCCATTGGCGTTTATATCTCCGCGAATATGAGGCAGTTTTCATCTGTGATTAACTATAAAACAAGATTTCGGCAATAATTCACGATATTTATGACTATTTACTTTAGACAGCACACGCTGTTACAATGTTTGCGTCGAGAATATTGTTAAATTGAATAATTTGCAAAAATGGTTGTCATGGGGACGAAGAATGATGGGATTTTGCAGTGAAGTTGAGGTAACAGTAAATAATGATTTACATACGGAAGTCTTTTACCATTGTGTATTTCCAAATCGAACGAATGCGACTAAATGAAAAGAAAATATGAGCAGACGATATATCGCGAAAACGTGTGATTTTATTGTCTTTGTTTTTCCGCTGAATAATTATAATGTAATTCTCGCAAGACCATCTTACATCACAATTTAAACATCATTTCTGTGACAACGTCGCGTACTAAAGTCTAACAATATTTTTGAAGTGGAAATTGTATGAATAATTGACGGCGATGTTTTGCGTGCAAGCAGACAGTTTCCAAGAAGGCGACATATTGTGGTCCCAAGAACCATCTTGTTACAATTTTGTTGGATGGTTGACATGAATAGCACGCAATAATAGCGTTATATAAGTGAGACAAAACTGAGCCTCCCTGTCGCTGATGTATCACGAACTCATGTTTTGATGCCCAAAGGAATTGCTTAAGACCGAGAACATGAAATAGAAGCTGAGATGTCCCTTTCAAAACTATTTTGTTACAATTATAATTAAAATTAGCACTGCCTTTTTGAACAAACATTTAATTCGTTACATAATAATGGAACTTTCATTTTTTTTCTTTCTTTTTCTTTCGTGTTGGTTGATTTAGATATTTCAAGATCGCTGTTAGCATTTACTTTGAAGAACATCACAGAAAAAAATCCAGATAGAAATAAGTTGCATTCAAATCCATTTCAAATGAACATGGAAAATAATGATACAGACATTATATCTTTTTGACATTTGACATTGCTTTACAAATTTAAGTTATTTAAAACTGTTCATTATTCTTGTCATTTATAATATACATGAATGTATAAAGGTATTTGGTGCTGGGATAATTCAACGACATTGAAGCATAATTGATTATAAAATTGCACATTCAATGTCAATATTCTAATTGTCTTTATTGCTGCCCCCCTGTCATTGTCGATAGCTAAGAAATGTGCAGTTGGGCGTTCTCTTGTTGTATTTTGATACATAACATAATTCTCTTCACCATATTTTCCATATTTTACAAGAGTCAATAATTTTGCCATGGATCAATTTTGATATGAGCAAAAACACACAAACTTTAAAAACTACCATTGCACATTTGTACATAACTGGGGAACCATTTCGAAAATAAGAATAACCTGAAAATGTTACAAGTAAAAGGAGTCATTTTGGTAATATTTAGATCTATGGGTTATTTCATAGGAATGTTATCATTTATATTGCCAGATGATTACATTCTCTTGGCAAAGAAAAAAAATTACGACCTTCCTTACTTCTTTATAAAATAATTCGAAAACTTAAAAATGACTCACTTTATAAATCAATTCAATGCACAAATTTCGACCAGACCCGAAACAAAAATAATCAATGTGTGTGATAAACAGAATCCGTGTTATGCGAAAAATGCTATCAGTGTTTTCACGTGCCATTTACGTTACATTAAATTATTAAGGG